CATTTACATTCTATATTTACTCTATACTCATAACAAGATCTATAGTATTAGTCATACAATGAATTAATAATATATAAAAAAAAAACAATACAGTTATTACTACTGTACACTATAATTACATTGTGTATAGTGAGCAAATTTAAAAATACATTAAGGATTAAATTAAAAGATTATAGATGATTACAAATTCAATACAATTGATTTATTTTATTTAAAAAAAAAATTACTGAATTTAGAAAATATAAATAAATCAATTATGTGCACTTTGCAGAAAGGTGAACTAAAAAACAAAAACAATCAATAGATCAATTAATTACTTTTTAACTTGTAAATTATCTTTTGGTAAGTGAAGTACCGATCGAAGTGGGAGCTTTCGCCTCCTTGGTATGGCCGTATGATATCAAATATTGTTGCTTTTTGAATCAGTCCTGAAAAAGAAATTGAAATATCAATTATTATTTCAAAAAAAAAATATAACATGGTTCAACTTGATTTAAAACAATGGATTGCTAGATACTGTATAGTGGCTTTCAGTGGCTGTGAGCTCTTATAATAATAAAATAATAATAGTAGACGTAAGGCGAATAGAAAAATTTGTTAGATTAAATTTGGGAAATATTGATGTGGGAATAAAAAAAATGTTAACAGATTTTTTAAAATGATGCAATTTTTGACTGGAAATACATTTTTCTTAAAAAACAATAAAATTAAACCAGTTTTTATACAATACTTACAATATACTTGCCAAATAAAAACAGTCCCTCTCATCAATTAAAAAAAAGCAATAATCTATTGTAGTGTTCTGATTTTTTTTTTAAAGTAATAATCTAATTTAGTTTTTTTCTATTTGCCCTTACATTTGCATATTGTTAGGCCCTCATTGGATTAATGCCTATGGAACACAAAATTTAATCTTGGGGGAGTATTCCATAACGCTGCAGCAGGTACATCAGCGCATGTTGGTATTTAACTTTACCAGGTACCCACTTATACTCCTGGGTGGAGAGAAGCAATGCAGATAAAATGCCTTGCCCAAGGACACAAGTGAAATACACAGTGAGGGAATTGAAAACCCTGACCTCAATGTTGGGACCGTTTCCCCTGCACCAAACCACTTCTACTTATTGACCAAAGTCAGTGGCAATTATAGACCTTAAGGGCCCGTATATTAATCAGCTTTTTTTCTGCCAGGACCATAGACCCTCCTTCAAACCATGTGTCATAAATCAGCCATGTGTTAATACATCAAAAAAGTCAGTCACCAGAGCGAACTGGAGCTTCTACCCCATACCTCTATCTGTTACCTGCACCCAGGCCCTGGCGAAGTATGTGCTTTACAATTAATACTACCTGGAGCCCTATGTGCCCCACCAGACCCTGGCAAAAAATTAGAATACAGTATGACGTGCTACTATATCAATCAATCAAACTCTACTGTAGGCCAACAACACAAAAAACCCAAATAATTATGTTTCATGTAATTGATCACAAGGCTTATCTTTAGGCTTAATGTTTACAATTCACATTGTAATTACCTTGTATTTGTATTACCAGGGCTGATCCATCCTTCTGTAGTTTCTCTTCTTTGATAGCCAAAAATGGTCGATGGGATGAATGATTTTCACACGTATCTGTGAGATGTGCCAACACTTATCTGAAAATTCAGAGATTTGAAATATGTTACAGTAAAAAACAATTGGTTAATGAGCAACAATTGACAGGGTAACTATAGAATTAAAACGATAACAATACTAACAATAACTTATCAGATCAACTTACCTGTCCATCATTATCTGGTTTTTTTTCCATCTTCATTTAGGTACTTTCCACTACTCTACCATGTTCTGTTGAATTAAAGACATAAAATGATTGTAATACAGTACATTGCAAATTATAAAAAGGACAATAAATTTTTAAGAAGGTGGCTTTCTAGTCAAAACAGCAATAAACCAAAATGGCAGTAAGTCAAAACGGCAACACTTTTTTACCAAAACGGCAATGGATCAAAATGGCAATGAGTCAAAACGGCAATAAACCAAAAAAATAACAATAATAATATTATTATTATTATAGTAATACTAATAGGCCTAATATTATAACATACATACAAAGAAATTCAATAATAAAATGGGGAAACACAATATCAAAGCAGCAGACATTCAAATAAATAAAACTTTATTAAAATACATTGGACAAAATATGAGACAAAACAATTTATGTACAGTAATTAAAAGTAAAAAAATCGGGAAAAAATAAATAATAATAATAATTGGCAGGGCCAGGCCTATGCTCTAGCCTAACCTAGTACAGTAGTAGAGTAGGTAGCTAGGGCCTAGGCCCTCCCGAGCATAGGGCTAGGCCCTAAAAACTAGTACTCCTACTACTACTAGGCTAGGCCTCCTAGGCCGACAGACAGACTGGGACAGACAGCAGTCTACGCCTGGCCTAGCTAGGCCTATATTATTAGTAGTAACTAGGACTAGGCCTAGTATAGAATATAAGGTAAATGATAGGGTAGGCTCAGTCTGCCCTGGCTTTGTATTATTTTTTTATTACATTAGTATGGTTGTACAGTATTCTTATCTTACCTTTTTCTATCTAACTCTGCATCATCAGCTGCTGCACCGCCTTCCTACTAGCCTAGTAGTAGTAAGCCTAGGCCTAGCAGCCACTGGCCTGGCTTAGCTTAGCTATGCTACGGCTTCGTCGGCTAGAGGCTGTATGAAACATTCAATCAATCAAGTTGTGTTGAATATTGAGTCTTGCATCAATGAATTATCCTTGATTTGTAGTTAATCAGTAAGTAAACCTGCTATTATTGTTGTATTTTGTACCTTAAAATCACACACATTTGTCAAATATTGGTAGAAGCTCCACTGGTACACACAATGAATTTGAATGTGGATCATAAGTTTTCATTGGTCAGTTTCGTAAGGTTAAGGCGTGGCCAATGACGGCAGGGCATATACAATATAATGATGTCAATCACTTCGCCGGGTGTGGGTGGGGTCATCGGGAACCTGGAATGCCATATCACTACCACATGGAGGATGATATCAATGACAATACAAATAATTAAATATATGAATGAATAATTAATTAATTCATGAGGCCTAAAACCATGATAGTCAACATAAACATCAATCAATGGATAAACAATCGTCTTAGAGCATTCAAAGTTGGTGAAATTAAAAGAAAAGGAGTAAAGATGATAGTTGAAGGGAAAGTATATATGTCTGCATTGGCAAATAATTATGAATGTGACTTAATTAGCACGTCACTGATGATTATGCATACAAGTTTAATTTGAAACAAAATAACTAATTGTATATAAAAATATATAAAGTATTATACTGTAAGGCAATGAACATAAAGTAAACTACAGTACTATAAGGTTTATTTATGTATAACCTGGATAGGTCCATAATTTTAAACATTTTAATATGTATAACTACTGTATATAAAATTTAATTGCAAAACAATAATTTGTATATATTAATTTTAATACAGTTCAACTTGTTTGAAGTCGAATGCATAATTCCATTGTTCAACTTAGATAAACAACATGTAAAGTAATTTGGCATAATAAGATAGACTGGGGCAAGTTTAACTGTATACAGATTTTTAAAAATTATTTTGACAAAATTGTAACAAATTATTTGTAAATAAATGCAACAAAGAGCAAATATACAACCATGTTTACAATTGCAAAATACAAACCTGTACAGCGTTTATTATGTTAATAAAGAATAAATGGCATTTTATTTTGGCTCTCTGGTTATTAATTTTATTGTTCTAAAATATTTAAACCTTGGAGAAAAACACCTACAGGCCGCCTATCTATAGGTTCCTATAGGCCGCCTATAGGTTCCTATAGGCCGCCTATAGGTTATAAAACCGTAACCAGTGGCTCAATTTTCCTCAAATAAAGTTTTTTATGATACTGAGAATAAGTAGTTTTTTGTGCTATTTTTTTTTAATTTTTAATATGCAACTTTGTATTTATCATGTGGTACCTACCTAGTAGTCTACATTACCTGTGAAAACTGTCATTATTTGAAACAAAACTGCCACTATTTCGAAAAATTATTGTTTTTTTTTAAATTATTATATTTATCATTATTGTAAATATGCCTTGGTTCCTAAGCTAGCATAGGCAGGACCCAGCTATTCGCTGAGGCTCTCGAATACAGTAACTGCGGGCTCTAAGCTGGCTTACCTGTTTTTTGACACCTGTCATCTAGGTAGCAACTTGTAGGCCTACATTGACATGTGTATGTGTTTTCGACAGCGTTTACGACACAAGTTCCTCCATTCATACACGGGTCCCAGTGGCAAGGGTCTAAAACTGCGAGAACGACAAATCAAAGAATACAGTTTTATCATTTGAGTATTCTTTTCAAGTACTTATCAAAATTAAACAAACCTATTTTGTTGAAGGACAGACAGACTTGCCAAAAGTTTCTCAACAACCCGATGCATCAGCTGAAAAGTTTTCGCGTCCACTTACATCAGTTCGCGTCAACTTACGTCAATTCGCGTCAGTTTTAGTGGTACTGTATTGATGAACTCAAAGTCGGGCTCCGGAGGGAAAAAATTGACATGTTGTAAAACTGATTTTTTAGGACAGAAAAAGCACATTTGACGAAAAACTCTTAAACGGTTAATGAGATACAGAGTTTTGACTATTTAAAAACTGGGGGTAACATGGAGAACTGCCATTTTTCCACCTATTCTCCTTTTTTTTTAATAGAACTATTCAAAAATTTCATTAATCGTTACCGAGTTTTTCGATATGCTTTTTATGTCTTCTAAAAAAATCAATTGTACAACATATCAAAACAAATTTTTCCTCAGAAGCCTGACTTCAATCAATGTTGCGGATGTGTTTTTTTTTTGTTTTTGATTTTTTTTTATTCCTTGAATTTGCATTTTTTTTTCTAGTCAATGATAATTTAAGGAATATAAGTGGCGTCACGGAGTTTGTGGGGCCCTGGCGGTGACTGTTATTTGTGGCCCTAATAAGCGAGCGAAGCGAGCGTTAAGTTTGCAAGCGGAGCGGGAAAACAGAAGCTGGGGGTCATGGGGCCAAGTAGCCTCCCCCAGTCGGGGCCCAGGAAGTGAAGGCCCCGGGTGGGCGTCCGACGGGGCTTTCGCGCTTAGGGCATACTGTTAACTGCGTTGTCAGAGAACATAGAATGGTCCATGACTAATGACATATTTCAGATTTTATGACAAACCAATTTAGATTACATAGGCCAACTTTCGGAACTGATAGGCCTAAAGTGGGCCGATGTATTTTATGTAGGTAAATAGAGACTATATGTGAGGAACAAAACATGTTCAAATAATAATACAATGCAAAGCAGATTGAAGACAAAATCAGAAATGTCAAACATCAGAACCCAGATTTTATTGTTTAAAACTGTCGGGGCCCCATTGAATGAAACTATGGTATTATAGTTTATATTATATTTTTTACAACTACAATGCGGGACCCCTCGTTCCCTGGGGCCCTGGAGCTCCGCCCCCACCCCCGTCAGCACCCGAGCGTGACACCACTGAAGAATATTCGAGCTAAGTAAACAAAAAATGCATTGAATATAATATAATATTATTTTTAATTTATAATGAAGAATTTGTAATGAAAATAAATATAGTTTTGTGTTCTGGTAAATTTCATATAAATTGATGTTATTTTTACCTGCGGTCCATGATACTTGCCAACCGTTGAAATTGGTGTTCTTATCAGTAAGAAAGTAAATCCACACGGTATCAGTAGCAATTGATAGAGTGCCAGGCGGTAGGTTATTATTATCAAAGGCATATTGAACACCGGGAATAGTAACGAATGATAGATCACTTGGAAACGATAGTCCCTTGCCTACGTATAATTCATCTTTAGTGGCCTCTACCTGAAACCCCGCTGCAAATGTCAGTACGATTTCAGTAGCGTAGGGCTGTCTCTTATACACATCTAGATGTGTATAAGAGACAGGTGGTACCTACCTAGTAGTCTATTGTGTTATGTGCTTTTATAATATTAATAATATAATTAATAATTTTTATTATATTCATTGCGTACTACCTAATAAATTGAGAAAACAGTGTTTTAATGGGAAATACAAGGGTGTATACCACTTGGCCTCAGTTGGTAGAGGATCCGCACGGTAATCGGAAGGTCTCGTGTTCAAATCTCGATGTGGGAGAATTATTATCATCAATATGACATAGTTATTATTAATACTGTAATACTAACCACATCATCAAATCCACTGATACTTACTACGGTACTAATTTGAAATGTGAAACTAGTACAACGAAAGGTGTTACAATAAAACTTGGTTCCCAAAAGGTTTAGGCCCAGTTCCCAATATTTAGAACCGCATCTTGTTTCATTTGAGTCTCCAGAAAATAAACCCTGTCTCTTATACACATCTAGATGTGTATAAGAGACAGGTCTATATGTATATACTGCATATGTCATATATGATACATATTATAGTGCCAAATGAATATATATGTATGTTATGTAATATATTCACTCACAGCATCTTTCTCTGTACAATTTATAACAACATTAACGCGTCTACAATGTTAACAACCCCGGGGCCTAAGAGTTAAAGCCTACTAGGAATAATAAATGTTGCAGTATTCTTATAATTAAAAAAAAACAAGACCTACGAATAATAGTCTAATATATTATTATTATTATTATTACTGCTACTGCTACTACTATTATTACTACTAATAGGTAAGACATTCAAACCAAAATATTATACTTTGTCATATTATTTTATACATAAACAGTGAAACCAAAATAATGTAGTTGAAATGACAGAATCTACAAGTGCTCCTTGACCTAATACTCCAATCAATACATCAATGAAACATCTCCTGTCAACATGGATGATCACAATATTATATAAGGAAATACTATTGCGTTATGTTACCAAATTTTACTTACCGTCTTCTTGTGCCAACGATGATGCGATACTCAGGAAAAGAAAAATAATTTTAAGTAATTGGTCCATTGTTCCGACGGATGTTGATTGTCTACTAAGATTTGCTATATCATGCTTCTTGCCAGCAGCAAAACAATATACCTGTATTTTCCTGAAAATTGGCATATAGAATATTCCGGTTATTTAGTCACCTGGACGTGTCTCAGAGCAGAAGAAGGTCACTTCTTGAACAAATTTAAATGTTGATGGTGAAATAAATGCAGAGATATTCACAGTGATGCTATGTAGTTATTATTTCGGTATCGCGATTGATTCTGAAATGGTTTCAAAATGTATCAGAGCCAGTGGTGAATAGTCCCTATTCATATCTAAATAATACCTATTCTGTCGCCCACTATTGAGCAATGGTTATCCAAGCGTTTGGGTTATAGACCAGGAGCGTTTTCTAACATCTTCAATTCAGAAATGAAAATACAACAGGTTGTTATTGGATAGGCCTAAATTGTCGTTGACACGCTATTCATGTCTAGATAGTATAATACATATGGAAATGATGCACGCCATCATGTTGGGATGAGATTTTAATCAGTGGAACTTTCGGCTATTTATGTCTTGTACTGTTGTAATTGCAACACGTAGACCTGTGACGTCAACTTTGTTTAGTTGAAAATGTATGAGATGTGAGAATTATAATTATTATTTTCTACATAATTTGTACTTCCGCGTAGAGTTCATGGTTCTCAAACAATAGTTCTGTTAATACTGTAATTCCAAGAAGAAAAGTACGTAACCCACAATTTACATGTGCGATTTGAATAGTTATACACAGTTTCAAAAGATCTATACTGTGCTGAAGTCTTTCACTACTCTATACACTCATGGCTACTCATTAGGAATTGCAACAACAATATAGGTATACTTTCATAATAAAAGAGTAAATATTGGTAAAACTTTGGTTAAAAGTAACTAAGGTCGGTATATCTACTTGAGAATAAAGATAGTTGAATTCAAATCATACATATAACGTACCGGTATGAATAGAGAGATTCACATTTATGAGCATGGCTGTATTTTTGTTAGCATACCTAGATGTCTACTTGGTGAATATTTTGTTCCAGAATGGTTAAATGAGCCATATTTTGTTTTACATAGTTAAAACAGTCTTAATAAAAAAAATAAAAAGCAGCGAGTGAAATAACTGACACAGACATTGAAAGCAAATAAGCTCGAAATTCAAATAATTCTCTATACTGTAATTGGCAATATACTTTCAAATATTTAACGTTATGTTTGATATATAGGACTATTAAAACAATTACAAATAAAAAAAAAAAAAATAAGGTACCCCGGAACACAAAACATTGTTAGCATATTGTATAGCATGTACTTGTGAACGTTGATTAGGTAATGACAGTGCCGCCGGAACCACACCGGCTTTGGCCGGACCACTTTTTCTCAACTCTTATTACTTTTTAATTTTTTTTTATTAAATTTTTTTTATTTATTAAAGACCCACCATTGTGCCAAAAAACCAAACAAAACAAGAAATGGGTCGTCATAATATGATATAAAATACAAGAAATAAGAGAAGTTTCAACACTAGAACGATTCGATAACGATTTAACAACATATTTTGACAAATCAAATCAGATGACGTCATAATCATGGGAAAACATTAAAATCGTCGTAGTAGCAACGATTTTATCGTTTGTCCATGAATGACGTCATCTGATTTGATTAGTTAAAATAATTTGTTATTGCATACACGATAAATCGTTATAGAATCGTCCTAGTGTAAAAACTTCTCTAATTTCTTTTATTTTCTATATGAACTATTGCTTTTTAGATTTTTTATCGTTATCGTTATCGTTGAAGTATAAACAGACCTTTAGGCTGGCGGGCACCACAATAGAAAGCAAGCTTGCAAAACAAAAAAAATATTCAAAGCAAAGAGGGAATAGATATTAACCAAGTGTAAGCCAATATTGAAATAAATTTAACAAAAATCAATTAGTTTAAAGAAAGATTTAGGCCTATTTGGCTTTAAATGACTATGGCTATTAAAATGTCCTCTATGCAATACAAAAAACAAAGCAAAATATTTCGTTCATGTTTGGCCTAAAACCGTATCGGAGTCTAAAATGTCTAGCTATGTACCAACTTTATAGCGATGGCTATTCTGTTTTTATTTATTTTCCATTCAATATACTCTAAGGTAATTAATACGATTTTTGATTCAAACAACCAATAGTTGTACAGTAGTAAAGAATAGGATAGGCCTAGATCTGGTCGTGGCTTGCCAGCTCAGCTCGAGAGATCCGATGTTGCGTGCATACATCCTCATCGCCGCGCTCGGTTCTCAAAATTATGCCATCTATTTTACCGATTTTACGCGTGCATCTATGGCCCGATCGATTTTGTCAGTTTTGGATTTTATGTTCTAAATGTTTATTTCCAAAATTATAAAAGCAATTAAATAAAAATTCCATTGGACCAAAAACATTCATTCAATAAAAAATTCAGCAAAAATACAATTTATGAGCAATTCATTAGACAATAAAGCGAAAACTCTTTCATTCATTAATAAATTACATTATTACATTAACTTCAATTAAATTCGATTGATTATTTTCATTTCACTCAATTATAAATTCAACTACAAATATATAATTAGCAATTCCTTACATCCATTCATTAACCAATTACGAAAATATACTGTACACTACTACTAATAACAACTCATTCAATTTTAACTAAGTAATTCATCACAACAAACGTATAAAATTACAATAATCCGAATAACATGAATACAAATTACATATTATTCATCCAATAAGAAAAAAAACACCCCATTAACTTAATTAACAATTAGACGATTGTGGTAAGTGTAATGAATAACCAGAGGTCCCTCCACCCCCCCAAAAAAAAAAACAGGAAGAAAATATTGTCAAAGGAATAATTGATGATAATATAAAAGTCAGGTGATTAAAAAACATCATTATCATTGAAACAAGCCCTCAGCACAAATGAGAATTCGTTCAGTGAGAACAAAGTAGTGTTTCTGACATCAGAAAGAATAGAAATAAATTAAAAGTCTACTGACGGGATTAAAGGGGGAATATTTAAAAGCGTTCATTCGCGAAAAAGTTTCAATAAATTTAAGTTCATTTAAATGTCTGGTGTTCATAAAAAAAAAAAAAGCATTTGATAATAAATAATACATAAAGAAACATGATTCTAGAATGGATGGATGGGTATGAAGGAAGATCTGACTGGAGAATTTGGACATCATGTGTATTTTCAATCACTCTATATAATACTGTATTGTCAGCGTATTGATTCTAGAATGGATGGAATATTTAGTTGCTTAAGTCTCTACGGGTGGGTATGAAGGAAGATTTGACAAATGCCCACAAAAAACATACAAGAATATTTTGCATTTTTTAAAAGTTGAGAGCTATAAAATTAACTTGACACCAAGACTGGATTTGATCAATGACTGGAGAATTTGGACATCATGCATATTTTCAATTACTCTATACAATACTGTATTGTCAGCGTATTGTGGTAAAAATTATTGTGATAAATCAAAAACAAAGATGTTACATAAAATATACCTGGGTATATTTATTGCAAAAAAAACTCACATACAAAACAGTTTATTGCAGCATGTGGTGAATTGAGGGAATGAATATAAAATTACAAAAATATAAAATTGGCAATTACAAATTTACAAATCATTATTAAAATGGTGCAATATTAAATATTAAAATTTACATTGGAAACATTAAAAAGACAGACGTCACAAACTACAAAGGCAAGAGTTACAATTGAGTCAATAATATATACATAAATATATATATATATATATATATATATATATACATACATACATATATATATATACATATATACCAAATATGATTGTCAAGATCAGCGACATATAGTGCTCGATGCAAATGCAGAGCGTAATAGTAAGGATGTCGAGCGTGAATTTACTCTACAGCTGTTTCATGCAGTAGCAATTGTGTAT